TATTACTATTACTATTACTATTACTATTATTATTATTATTATTATTATTATTATTATTATTATCAATTAAAGTCAGGTCCTGGAGGAAAAAACATTTTTGATATGTTTTTGATACAGATTTTTGAATATTTGAAAACTAAATACAGGTAGAAAAAAGGGCGATTACTTCCCTTCTCCCCTGTCGTGTAGACGAGCCTACAAAAGATATAAAACGTTTGATTGGTTTATTTAGAATTATAATAGGCTAATGTATGTTGTTCCTGCTATTACTATTATTATTATTATTATTATTATTATTATTATTATTATTATTATTATTACTATTACTATTACTATTACTATTACTATTACTATTATTATTATTATTATTATTATTATTATTACTATTACTATTACTATTATTATTATTATTATTATTATTATTACTATTACTATTACTATTACTATTACTATTACTATTACTATTATTATTATTATTATTATTATTACTATTACTATTACTATTATTATTATTATTATTATTATTATTATCAATTAAAGTCAGGTCCTGGAGGAAAAAACATTTTTGATATGTTTTTGATACAGATTTTTGAATATTTGAAAACTAAATACAGGTAGAAAAAAGGGCGATTACTTCCCTTCTCCCCTGTCGTGTAGACGAGCCTACAAAAGATATAAAACGTTTGATTGGTTTATTTAGAATTATAATAGGCTAATGTATGTTGTTCCTGCAAAGCACTAATTTAATGGTAACATTTAGGCAGATTTATTATCATAAACAGTTCATTTGTTATTGTTTTACATATTTTAGATATTAACGATTGCGAACCTAATCCGTGCCAGAATAATGGAGATTGTGTGGATCATGTCAACAGTTTCATTTGCATATGTTCCGGTGGCTGGCAGGGAGTTTTATGCGATCTGAAAGGTTAAACATTTTGCTTTTTATTCAATCATATTGTGATAGCCTAAGACATCATAGATGATGAATGTTGTGCTTATTCTAATATCGTTATGCTGTTTCATGATATTCGTTTCAGAGGAAAACCGGAAGCAAGAGAGAAAAACTTCCAAAGGAAGAGAGTTTATATTCTCTTTCCCCGAAAACCTAATGAAGGGTAATGGACCTAGCCTCCGTATAATAACCGGAAGCGCTATTACAACAGCAATTCGAATATCATATCGCGATGGTTTGGTATATGACCGATTTGCAGTGCTTGCTAACTCCATAAAAGTCATCCGACTCTCTGAAACGTTTATGGCACATAATGCAGATTCACAAAATATCGCCCTCTATGTTGAATCAAGTTACGATATCGAGATCCACGCGTTCGCTGACAATCACCCAATGAGCATGGATGGGTTTATGGCGCTGCCATTGCATCGTCTTGGACAAAGTTACTTAATCATGACTTCTGTGACGTTGTCACATCCTCGCCGACACTCAGAATTTGTTATAACAGCAACTCAAGATAACACGCACGTAACCGTAACGTTCGCTGCTGACGTTCAGTTTCCAACAAGGTCCTTTCGAAGTGGACAGGAGGCCCACTTTCTCATGAATCGACTTGATGTGTTACAATTTAAAAGTAATGCAGACCTTACCGGTACTATTGTCAGAAGTACTTTTTTAGTAGCCATTACAGCCGGAAATGATTGCGGATTCATTGCCACCCCGAACGTGGAGACAAATTACGTATGTGAACATATGATAAGCATGATCCCACCCCTTAGGAGCTGGGGTCAAACGTTCGTGATGGCACCCTTTTTAGGGTACGAGAGTGGCATTAGTTCAATCAGGATACTTGCTGCTAAGGATAACACTATAGTTCAGCGCACTGGTGCACGTGACATTATTCTCAATCGAGGAGACTTTTCTGATTCAGTTATGTTTGATAAAACGGGGGTTGTGATTAGGTCGTCAAGGCCGATCCTTGTTGCGCAGTTCACTGTGCCAATGCCACTGACCTGCGAAGGGTGCGATGGGAAATCCTCGCCATCCATGGTCATCATACCACCGACTAGTATGTTCTCTGATTCACTGACATTTTCAACATACAATGAACTGCAGTTTGGTAGCTACGTGGTGAACTTCACAAACTTTGCCACAATAGTAACCAAATGCGAAAATAAGAAACACATAAAAGTGGAAGGGCCACAAACATTAAAATTGGAGTGGATGAGTCGCAACGATGCGTTATATTGTATAGCGAGAACACGTCTTCCAAATGGAAGTTATCGCATTTCGACCCCGTTGCATTCAGTCACAGTGTCAGTGCTTCTATATGGATTTAGTCTGTCATCTACTTATATTTTATCAGTTGCTGAGGGTATCTCCGTGCACGGAATAACAGAAATAAAAGAACAAGGTTTGCAATTCGGTTACTAATCTTCATCCTATATGGTTATTGCATATTAGTCTTAAACATTGTTTGCATTTAAATGAACTAAAGTTCATTGCTCTAAAGTATCATTTATGCACCTTGAATTATTATAAAATTTATTATCAAAGATAGATGTAACCTTACATTTTTACTTTTAACAGACTTGACATATTCAACCCTCAAGACAACAAATAGTAAGCCTAGGCCTAACGAGACATCAGAGTACTTCATAGGATTCATTCAAAATGGCCCAACGTACTTGGAGTCGGAAGGCCCAAAACTTCATCTTCTCAACGGAAATAGTCCAGTTGATGTGAATATCAGTAGCCCTGGGCTGTTCTTTCAGAACAGTATAACACTAGAAGCTGGTGAATCAAGAGTAGTTGAACTACCATCGGATGCAATCGAATTTGGTTCGAGACCGATCAACAGCGCCATCTATATAACAAGTTCTCGCAAGATAACCATATATGGAATAAATGATGTTCAATTTCTAAGTTCTGATGGTTTTCTAGCCTTACCGGTAGAAAAACTCGGTCAAGAGTATTACATTGCTTCAGGAGCTACTCTTCAGCGGCGCACGCTCAGTCGTTTTTCAACTGTTATAATTATAGCAACTCGTGACGCAACCAAAGTTGCTGTATCTGTGACCCAAACTGTAAATTATGGAGGACGGACTTTTAACCCCGGGGACATCATTGAATTATACATGAATAAACTTGAAGCTATTCAACTAGAAAGTTCATCAGATCTTAGCGGAACCTATATCAGAGGTGACCAGCGTATCGCTGTTTTCTCAGGGTCCGATTGCGGCGGCGTTTTCTACAGATATGGTCCAAAACCTGGAATTATTAGCAGCCGAAACAGCTGCGATCACATGGTAGAGCAGCTGATCCCGGCAAGTTCATGGGGTTCAACATTTGCTCTTGTCGCTTTCGATGGTTACACAAAAAGCCATACTACGGCAAGAGTAATTGCAAGTTCTGACCGAACTTTTGTGAACGTTGGGGGCGAGATAATCTATGTAGACAGAGGACAATTTCAAGACATTTACTTGGGTGGAATAAATAAACAAGCGCTAGAGGTAATTTCTAATCAGCCAATACAAATCGTACAGTATACAGTATACAATGCATTAACTTGCAATGGCTGTTCTGGGTATTCCAATCCATCAATGACCATAGTCCCTGCAATGTCTCATTCTATTTCCAAGGTCAAATTCATGACTTACAACGTCACCATGGCAACTGGAAGTCCAAGAATCTACCATACGTACATGAATATAGTGACCAAATGCGTGAATATATTCAGTTTAACAATTAATGGTAAAGCACTAAAAAGTGCCTGGTCGCAGGTTGCCGGTGTGTCAGTTCTGTGCTACGCTCGAAATGAATTAGCGCATGGAGTATACGAAGTTGCGTCGGTAAATGGCGCCCTCTTTACGTGTACGCTTTACAGCCACACAAAAAGTGTGTCGATGGCCTTTCCTTGCGATATGAATCTGTGAAACGCTAAAACTCCCAGGGGCTTAGTTTTCTATTAGGATTCCCTATTAAAGGGGGTTCGAGAATTAAAATTTCGATTGAACAATAATGTACTACGAAGAATTGCAGTACTAGTAAGTATTTTCACTTCTCCGAGCTCGGTAGGGACGGGCTAGTGGTGGTATTACATAAATTACAGAGTTGTAGCATGAAAGTATTATTACTAATTTAGAAACTGTAAAGAAATTTCTGAAATTGACTATGGAAATACCTGAGATTAGGTAACATATAATAATGTTAAGACGAATACATAAAATTTTATTGGGCAATGTTAAGTTAGGATTTTTGCTTGTTGTACAGTTTTGTCATCATCTTTTTAGTTGTTATTGTATATTCTTGATGTATTTTTTGCTTGTGGTCTAGTGTTAAATTCATTCTTGATGTTTTTGTCCTGCCAAGGAAAATAATTTTCACAAGAATTATATTTTAAACTAATGACGAATAAAGTATGTCTATGTCTATGGGAACGGGCATGGAGAGTGCCACACCAATATTTTTTTATAAGCACCGCTCTCAAATCAATCAAAATATTTTTTATTCACGAAATATATGAAATACAACATAAAAGCTTGTTTACCAATAGTGTTCTTCCACATATTTGTGATGTAAATAAGTGCCGCACTAAAGCCTTTTTATAAGCGCTGCGTTTACTCAGGCGTTTACATTACTTTGGAAAGCTTAAAGAAGATATAATATTTTGCAAATGTTACGTGATCAATCTTTTCAATTAGCTATTTTTCTATAACATGACAGTTGAACCTCTTGGATATTTAATGGTGAGTTAATTGAAAGACTATCACACTTATCTGCATGACCACGATTGAACTCATGAATATTAAGGGAAGCAGTACCGGGGCGGGGGAAGTGCATTGCTCCGAAGGTCCTTTGGTCCGAAGGTCCGTTGCACAGTGGGCCAGGTCGAAATCAAAGTGTGCCAAAAGTCCATTTTGGTGACTATGGTTTTTACACTTTTTTTCACATGATTGAAGATGGGTATACCCTGGTGAATCTATCCTGAAAATATTTTACATTTAAACGAATTTTAAGGGTAGTATTTTTCAAGAAATGTCGGAAATTACTCTATAAATATTTAAAATGCTATAATTGACTACATTATATCAAAACACGTTTTTTTCTTACAGAAAATTCGGAATTACTTCAAAATGCATAGGTTTCTTGTATATAAATTGGGGAACACAAATATATGTTTTGGTTTAAATTTGAAGTTTGCATCAATAATAAATCGTTGTTTAAACCACAGAAAAAATATTTTAAAATCTATTTTTAGAAAAGTAGGAAAGAAAGTTTAGATTCATGTGGATTCATGCTTTAATTTTTACATCACCATCTTCAGTATAGCCTTAGCTTTATGATGGTACCAAATTTAGCTGCTACTTTTTGCAACTTTGCGAGCTAGACGCACTTTTATCAGTCTTGTTTTCGTACATTTGAGACACAATTTAATTAGAGCAAATCGCAAATCAGAGGGATGTAACGCGCGTCTACTCAACCAGTTCATGCAAAGCGTGGGAAAAGCACTTCAAAAATTGACAAACTGCTCGTGATTTAACAGTAGCAAATCTTCTAATATTTTGTTGCTGTTTAGAATACTTTATTAAATTTTGAGCAGTCTAATAATCCAAATATTATATATCATAATGAAGATGATATCTACAAGCAGGCCTATATCTAGGCGTCAATTGTTTTTAACTTTATTCAAACACATCCAAGACTTTGAAAAGCTTCCTGTTTCAACTTAAGGAGAGGTGAGCTACTACGCGAGTAGTAACGACTTTCACAGCAAACAATAATACATTATGATAACGTGACAATAACGTTACAGTTTTGTCTTGAAAACCTTATTTTGTAGAACCATAAATACATACTGAACATAATTTCACAACGTTTGCACGTTCCTACAACGTTGGGTAAACGTTATTTTGTGACATACCTAACCACAACATTCGCCAAGAACGTTATAAGAACGTAAACACGTGTTTTCCAGGTTTCTAAAGAAAATAACTCGTGGCTTGACAACAGGATTCCATTTTCTGATGAAGTTATTAATGTTTTGATACAGAACAGAGATATTCTTTCCACACCAACAGGAAACCCACAAGAGACTTAAAACAGACGCAAACCGGGACTAATATGTAGAAAATACATACACATTTTATTTCTCCCTGACGAATTGTAGTTTATCTCCCCAACGCCAGGGTGTGGGGGGGGGGTGTGGTGAAGCTTTCCTCGACGGGGACCCTGCCCGATTCCCCCTGCTGGCGTCACCCCTGGGGCGCAAACCGGAATCGTTCACGACAGATGAAACATTGTCCATCTTTGTAGCTCCATAGTAAAATGAGACTCCTCTTACACCAAAATAAAGAGTAGCAAAATAGCATTGCTATCCTGGTGGTACAGTATACCTGTCAAAGAGGACAGCAAAAGTTCCTCTTCAAAGCTTCCTCGTTCATACTGCACTGAGAATTATTTTTAAAAAAAACATAAAACGACCATTATCGATACTTTTACAATATAAAAAATATACAAAAATACCATTGGGGACGGAATTAATATATGACAATATATGATTATCATTATCATGACATTGGTGTAGGCAATGTCTGATAATTCCATTGAATCTCAGATCCAAACACATTTTACATTTAATAAATGTAAAATTAGGTTGTCTAGAATTATTATGAATTTTGATTTTGATTTATATTCACTGTAAGATTAACAATAGCCTATGCCACTTTTGGCCCCGTCCGATCAGAAAAATGTATTTTGATGACGTGATGGAAAATACAAAAAGTTTTTCACAGAAGTTCTTTTGTCCAAAACCTCCTTAAACATTTCAAAATTAATTTGTAATTTCACTGTTCCCTGGTATTACAATGAAAACTGACATTGTCCAATCAGAAAACAGTACAAAAATGACGTCATATAGATTTGAAAATGCTTTTATTGAATTCTACGGGTATGAAAACCTCTAGATAAGTCTTGTATTCGCTTAGATTAGCTTCTGTAATGAGTTATTAATTTTGGCACACTTTGACTTCAATCAGGCCCACTGTGCGTTGGTCCGAAAGGCAGGTCTGTTGGTCCAAAATTAATATATTGAAATATGGACAAAAAATATAAACCAAGAAAACACATGGTAGACCTATAGTAGCTAACAGTAACAATACACAATTATTGATTGTTGCATGATACTACTAGACTATTTGCGAAACCTGATTTTTGTCAAGCATATAATATATAAAATTAATAAAGCTGCATGGGCATAGTGATAGAGTAAAATAAAAGAATAAAACGGTTGTAATCTGCCTTAGTAAAAATGTACCAAAGACCCTTCGGACCAAAGGTACGCACCAAATATTTAATGATCCTTAAAACTAACTACCAAACAAATGAGAAAGATATCTAAACTGGATGTTAAATAAGACCGTAGTATTATATTTCTGCATTTCTCTATTATGGTTGTGGGTTTTTTTTCTCCAATTTCTCAAATAAAAACTTCAAGGATGGTTAAAAAAAACCAAATACATTGGCGATCAAAATTGTGTAGGCCTAGATTAAATGTATAAAAATTGTTGTCGCTATATTATTATGTAATTTATCATCAAGTATTTCACAATTTAGGAATCTATTTTTTAAATAAAAAACTTATTTTTAGAGGGATCCATTCTGTATGGTATAGGAAGGCATATATAATAACTTTATTTGAAATCTGCATTTGAATCAATGGCACACATCATGCGATGAACCATTAAATAATTTAAAAGACAAATACTTATCCGGAATGACTTGTTAATTTCCAATTATGATTATGTATATATAAATCAGTATTCCTCAATGTCATTAAACGTTTGATTTCAACACTTTGAGATAAACAACTGCTGTATTTCTTTTAGATTATTATTATACAACTTGTGACGTGTTCTAACAGGGAAAATTCACATCATCTTATTTTATACAAAGCAGTGCAAAATGGTTTAGCTGCCATCTACAACCAACCAGGGGCGGATTCAGGATTTAAAAGAGGGGGGTTCAATTTCCAAAACACCCCAAAATGAAAGGATGGCCAGAAATGAGCTTTTCCAACTTCTGAGGAGACTTTTAACGACCTTTAAGTTCTTCAAAATTCAAGGTTTTACACCGCTTGAAAAAAAGTTCAGATAATTTTATCTCATTCTTTAGGCCTATCATACATGGGAAAAAAATCAAATACAGGCAATATATTATTATATTCCAACAACATTGAGTATTTAGATATGTAGTCTTTCATCCATAGATCGATGAACCGATAGGCCGGGGCCGGGCCGCCCCCCCCCCCCTAAATCCGCCCCTGAAGCTTGATAGCACGTTGCGTGGTAACGGTACACAACGACTATGAATGGTTGATTTTCGACAGTTCTTGTGTGCTGGTCTGATAGGTGCAAGGTTGAATGTTGGAAATTTATATTTAATACTATGTATTTCTTTAAATGAATCTTGCAATCGATAAAATAACAGTCAAACTCACTCAACTACCAGTGAAATTTATTCATTCATAGTTCTATACAGTGTGACCACTCACAATTTTTGATATACCCAATGTCTGGGTCGAAATTACCCAAGATTCAGCAAAAATTGCCCAAAATTACCCAAGCTTCCTGAAAATGCATTAAAATTTGAAAAATAAGTGTTTTTCGCATGTATAGTTTCCCTTTTAGTTTATAAACCAATTTTTTATTGTAATTGTTTGTGTTAATTATTAAAATTAATATTCATGAGGTGATAATACAGATATAAAAATACGCCCTCAGTCGGCCAGTGTTATCAGTAGATCAGTGATCAAGTTTTATTATGTAATGCATTAATTAGGTAAGATCAATGGCAACACAAATCACAAATAAACAATTCTGAACCCATGTTTATAGCAATTAAGAGTCAATTAACAATGTTATGTGCACTTCGTTGAGTTTTGCTTACTTGAATGGACTGAAATATACTTTGTTACTCCTTAATTCTTCCTCTATGACAAAAATATTTAATTTTTTTAGTAAAAATAAAATACATAAAATACCCAAGGATTTGAACGGAATACCCCAGAACCCAAAACCAAGTCAAAATACCCAAGATCTTAGGTAAATACCCAAGCAGTGGTCACGCTGGTTCTATATTTGTTGAGTAGCGCCCTCTGGAGTTTCAATCAATTAAAAAGGGTATTACCAAAAAAGAAATACAAGATAAAGTTCTTTCTCCACATAAAAAAAGTGTTCCACCGAAATGCATGGTGGGAATACGAAAAATGGGACGCCCCCTACAGCTGGATTTAAAAAAAACTTGTTCCAAACTTTCGTTACCAAGTCGTCGCGTATTTTATTATCAATTCTCAACAAAGATACTAGATATAAAAACAAACTGGAATAGACACCCAGACAGTGACAACGGTGAATACATAACTTCCTTGGTGGCGGTAGAAATCGTTGCTATTATCCAAATAATACACAAAACAATTAAAGCATAATCATGAATCAGTAAAGAATAAAACAACAATACAGCGCAGAATCGCATGGCCGGACGCACTCTTAGTGAAAACGTTTTCTTCCATTAGTGGAAAAGGAAGGGCGCCATTTGCGTCTGGATATACTTAGCAAGAGAGCTATATATTTTACGAATTGTAACACAATCTGAAGGTGTTATGCCAACACTGCTAAGCTAACTAGGCAAAATGTTTAAATTATAATTATATATCTCTGACATAAACCAATAAATAATTGTTTAGGGCGACGTATTAGAAAGAATAGACTCAAATGATGGAACAGGGACACAGCCACAGTTTGAAAGCTATTTTAATCTTGAAAATTGCATTTCATTAGTAAGAGAATATTCATTTTTCCCTCTGTTTTCCTTTTATTTCATTTTAAAAACACACACTGAACCAAAAATTCGCCGACGCAGCGGCAACATACAAGATACAAGATAATTTATTGTCATTGTACACAACACGGTTCACATGAAATTCAGTTTCCAATGTTTTCATTAAAAAAAAAAACTTAACTAATACAATATAAAACAAGCAGGTCTGTACATAAATATGAAGTAAACATAAGTACGGTTTGAAGTTATGGCATATGTACAGAACGTTAACATAACAAAAGATATTATTAAATACAGTTATTAAAATAATACTTATTACC